ATGGAGACCTGAAAGAAGAAATATGTACGAAGCAACCACACAAGGTTATGTCTCACTTCAGAAGTAAACACAGCCAGTAAATTAAACAAAAGTATCTACAGACTAAAACAGGCAGCTAGAAACTGGAATCACAAATTAGCTGAGATCCTGTGCAAACAAGGGTATATTCAAGGAAAGGCCGATCCATGTTCCTTCACATTAAATGAGAAAAATGCAAGAACTTATATAATCGTATACGTGACATAAGTTATGAGCAACTAACATGAATCAATTCAAGAAGTTGAATGAATTCTCATAGAATATTTCGACATTCGAAATCTTGGATAAGTATCTACATATCTAGGAATTAAAATTGAAAGAGAAAAAGATGGAAGCTTCTAACTTCTTCAAGATAACAAGATTAGGGATATAATCAAAAAATTCGACAGAAGGTCAGCAAAGAAATTAAGCTGTACATCCATGACTATGCATTTTATGAAAAACCAAAACAAACAAAATAATATTTTCCCTGATAATCATAAATACAGGTAAGCAGTGGGAGTACTTTTATATATAGCAACAGCATCAAGACCCTACATAGCAAATTCTGTCTGAATATTAGCAAAAAAGTAGAAATGCCATCAACATCGAGCTGGGACGGTAGAATTAAGATCATACGATAACTGAGAGCTATAATTAATTACAAAATACATCTAAAATCTAATGGTACACCAGTCATCAAAGCTTACAGCTATGCTGATTGGGCCAGAGATACCTCTGACAGAAAATCCACATCTGGATATACATGGTGTATAGCAAAGTCCCTTTAACCTGAAAAATCTTGCAAACAAAGGGAGCTACAGCTATGCAAGTGAGGTAAGGGTATAGTAAAGCGACTACGCCCGACCTAATGCAAATGACAGCAGCACCCCCTAGGGACGAAATTTGGAAGATGGGCATTGAAAGTTAAAAACGAAAAGAGACAGAGCAAAAATTCCAATTAGAAAGTTTTAGAGCATCAACTTAATCAGTAAGAAACAACATTTGGTTCACATTAAGATAAACTGTTACCTGTATACTTAAAGATGTCCATGATTGATGCACTCTATTTTGTGTAAATGTTTGAAAGGAATGGCAATAAGTACTAAGAAATACGCAGCTTTTTATTGCATAAAATACATACTTACATCAATACAGTTTGATAAAATTCTCTCTCTCTCACACACACAAAAAGCAAATTGTCACACACTTTGATAATAAGTGAACATAAAGTATGTTCAAAACTTTTGGTGTTGCTCACAATACACATCTGTATTCATGAGAGTAATTCTGCACACACATTTCCCAGCATGGCAGGTGACACATTATTGCAAGCATCTGTAATACGACAACGTTGATTCAGCAGACTTATATGTGGAGTTTCATAAACCTGATCTTTTATGCAACCTCATGGGAAGAAATGCAATGGAGTGAGGTTTGGCGATAATGGAGACCATTCAACATTACCACCATACCCAATAATTTGCTGTCTACAACAATGTACAGTACGACGTCACAATCTGGAATTGTGCAATGCTACATTTCCGAAATTTGAATAGAATCCTCGCACATCGATTGAGAACATCTTTAAATTTACAGGCGACAATTTATCTTTTCTGTGTGAACCAAACGTTCTTTCGCACTAATTAATTGCTGCACTTAAACTTTCTAATTGGAATTTTTCCTCTAGCTGTTTTGGTTTTTGATTTACAATGCCTATCTTCCAAATTTTGCCACTAGAGGTGCTGCTGTTGTTTCATTAGGTCGGGCATAGTCGCTCTACTATACCTCACTTGCATAGCTATAGCTCTCTCTGTTCGCAAGAATTTTCAGATTAAACGGACTTTTCTATGCACCCTAGTACAGTATCATGGATAAGCAAATAGGGAACAGTACAGAATCATGGATAAGCAAGAAACAAAATTATGTCGCCTTACCTTTGACAGAAGATAAATACACTGTTCTAGCTTTAACTTTGCAGAAGCTACAGCGGATGAGACAAGTTATGGAAAATTCAGGCTCACTCAACAGTACACTAACATCATATTCAAGAACAATATATCCTGCATAAATCTTTCGAGAAAAGTAAAAAGGAGTATTATACCAAACACATCAATGTAAAATATCACTACGTCTGTAATCTACAAAACCAAGGATTTGTTAAATTACAACACTGCAACAGCAAAACGATGTATTCACGAAACCTTTGCCATGACAAAAGCTGGAATTTCTAAAGGAATAGCTGTTACTCCGGATGGAACAGCTCATCAAGTGGTAAATTGTGGAGCAACTGCCATTGAAAATGAAGGTGATTAAGTTGTACCCTCCAATATTACTTTCTACCCCCCCTAACTAGAACTGAACTTAATCCCCTCTTCCCCCCCAAAAGGGGAGAAACTTCTCTCCATGTATAACTCATTCTTATGCATTCTGCCATGGAGAATAGATTAATGCTTGTACCATTGCTTGTTGTTAGATATTTTTTTTATTATTATTAGCACACAAATATGTATTTATTAGAATAATAATAATATTCTAATAAATACATATTTGTGTGCTAATAATAATGATTGTGCTTCTTAGATATAGCAAGATGGATTACCTATTAACAAGGTAAGAACTTTGATTCTGTTTTATTTATCTGCTCGTCTCAAATAAGCTGCATTTTCTGATAGTAAACAAATGAAACATGTGAGGAAACAAATGAACTTCAACAGTCAGAACAGGTTCTTAATGAAGATTTAGTTATGTCATAAAGAAAGAAAACTGCAATGTCATTATTTACCTGTACAAAACTAGAATGTACTGTTCATGAATTATGAAAGAATTTCAAAATTTTGCAAATTTGTAAATATTATTTGTTGGATGAAAAGATTCATATCAAAATATAGAAATATAATTATTGTTTTCAATTTGAACTTTTGGACAAAGAAAAGAAAGAGACAGGGAAGTTTCTTTGGTCAAAAATTCAGTTAAAAAGTTTTGGTGGTGACACAAATGCTGTCAAAGGTCTTGTTGTTGTGAAAGATCAAAATAACATAATCTAAGTGAAAATAAAGTTGTTAGAATGTGATGAAGAATTTTCATTCAAATATATAATTTTGTTGCCATCAAAACATCATTTAGCATATTGTTTAATATGAGACTGCCATTTAAAGAACTGTCATGCTGGTCTCCAGACTGTTAGCTCAATCTGGTGAGAAAATTATTGGATTATTTCTGTTAAGCGTAACATCTGAAGTGAATTATCAATATGCTCAAAACGCAAAATGTTTACGTCAAAACCATTTGCAACTCCACCCATTCATCTTACATTTGACAGAGTTAGGGACTCGAAAGTTTTTGAAGTCATGGCCATCAATTTATGTGGTCCTGTCTTTCTAAAGAACAAATCCAAGGTATGAATTGTCATTTACATATGCGCTGTGTATAAAACCATACACTTGGAATCAGTGATTGATTTGTCAACAGAAGGTTTCATCCATGCCCTAAGAAGATTTATAGCGAGAAATGGAATAATTTCAACAATTTACAGTGACAATGGACTAACTTTGGGAGTGTCAACAACCTTTTCAAATCTTTAAATAAGAGTCAAATAAAAAATTCTGAAGACCTAGCTCCCATTAAATGAAAGTTCATTCCTCAATCAGCTGCGCGGTGGGGTAGATGGTGGAAGCAGCTTATTTACAGTGAAAAAAAATTCTTGGTAGATCATCACTCAATTTTAAAGACCTTTTAACAATATTGAGTAAAATTGAAGCTATAATAAATTATCAAACCCTTTCATGTATTTCAGAAAAGAGTCTGATGAATTTATTCCTTTGACCCCATCATCTTTTATCAAAGACATCCAAGAACAATGTGGGATACCTGACCTAGAGAAAATTAATTCCCAGAAACTTCGAAAAAGATATCGAAAATGCCTAAATATAAAAGATAAACTGAGAAATAGATTCCGAAAAAAACATTTGGCAACTCTCATTCAAAAATCAAAAGAAAAGGCTCAAGTTATCCAGATGGGTGATGTAGTACTAACTGAACTAGAAAACCAAAAGAGACTTAACTGGCCAATACAAAGCTGTTTCCGAGTAGAGACGATTGAACATGTGTGGCAGAGGTAAATCCCCTTCAAGAACTTTTGTATGGACAATTCCTAAACTTTACTCTCCGGAGATATCTAAGAACAATGATTCAGTCATCCAGTTAGTGAACTGTATGAAAATAACTAATTTTTTTATTGTTTGAAATTTTCTTAAGATTTTTTTTAAAAATTTTATTATATTATTTCTGAATAATGATGCAAATTTAATTTTTATGTTTAACTTCTAGAAGGTGAGGGCATGTTAGGTATTCATTGTAAAATGTTTCTTTTTTTTTGTTATTGTTATAATAGACAGTGAGTTTTTAATTCTGGTTCATGCTAGTATGGATGAATAGTCGATTTTACAGCCACGAATAGCCATAAATGGGAAACAGAGGCTGTGTAAGAAATAACATTTAAATATTTGTTTTTCTTTTCCACTGCTTAATGTAAATAAAAATATGGTGTCAAAAAATTAATTGTGTTTTCAGTGGAGAAGACCCTTTCCAACTGAGACATCACATTTCAGTCCTGATGCACCAGAAAAGATAAATGAAGTTTTTTTTTAAAAATTTATTATTATTTTTTTTTTTTATTTTTTAAACCAGATAAATATGTAGAACCTGTATATGTCAGTGGATGCTGACAACTTCAATCAACAGTAGTTGAATAATTACTTAATAAATGCATTTTGCAACACAATCTACAACACTTGCAAAAATCCAATTCCTTCTATCTTATAATATATGCCATACTTATATACCTTATATATAACATAGTTAATTAAGAGATTAATTTTGCTGTATAATAATGGGAAATAAATATGAAATGAAATGGTTTCTCTTTACTTGCAAAGGAGAATTTAAAAATTGCATTTTGTAATAAATATTCTGAGACTTACCTTAAGAAGATAAACAATTTTTCTTGTGAAATATATGTAGCAAACTATCTGAAAATTTAAAATACATTTCTTTAACTAAGATAAAAAAATTGTAATAAAAGTATAAAAATGAAAAGTAAGAACATAAACTACCACAGTTATATTTCTTACATTTTACATACCTTAAATTATATAAAAATACTAATAAAATTTCTAAAGGATATAACACAAAATGCATTTACAAAATAATACATACCATTACATAAAAGTGCCTGAACAATTTCAACTTTTCCAAATTTATAGCAGCTTTGCCGTCAGTTTGAGAAGCTTCCTGAAGATGCCTGATTGACCTAATAGATATAACAGAAACAAAAAAATAATTTAACTCATAAAAGTGTTAGAAAGAAATGTAACTGCTGAACCAAACACTAAATGGCAACAACTAGATTTTATTTTCAGTCATGTAAAATATTTTGTTCCTTCTTTACTGAGCAGTACTTTAAATTTTGAAGATAATTTCTATAGCCTTGAATCATATATATTCCTAAAATTATCTGAAATGGTTGAATAATTTAAAATTTTTAAAAATTATTATTTATTCCTGACAGATATAATTTAGCAATATATATTTAAAGCAATTTATATGGTATATTTTAATTTTATAACAGTTATTTTAATTTTGAAACCCTTTCCTTTCAATTCTTGTTTCCACTTACAGCTCCCTACCAGAATGAGTTTTTAGAATTGTACTGAATGTAAATAAGTTAGAAGAAGTATTTAAGGAATGTACTTCAATAGAGAGTGCTAGGAATCCTTGGTGGCACATGTTGCCTTCTGGCTAAATCACTCTTGAAGCTGTTATGCTTGGGCGGGTTATACATGCCTATTGATATTTGCTGGCTAGTTCAATTTAAGGACCAACTACGTTAGATAATTGTGTCCAGCTTTGGCTAAGCTTTGTTTAGTTAGCTTTAATTTAGTTCTTATTTCTTACTCTGAGTTAAAGCCTAAGTAGAGGCTTTCCTGTAAGCCCGAGAAGGGGGCTCACTGTTATTCTTATTTGAGTAATAAAAGGGTAATTGAACCCTCCTTGTATCTACGTCTTAGTTGTTCTGAACTTAGTGATAAGTCGTTACATAGTTCAATAGGTTCCTTAACCTTTCATCATAGACAAAGGATGAACCCTGCACATTTTTAAGATATTAACTGTAAATAAATTTAATAATTTCTGTCTTGAGTTTCAGATTTAAAGAGGTAAAAAAATTATGTAATTAAAAACATGTTTGTTCACAGACAAACAACAGTGGATGAACATTAATTATAAAGTTTCTATACTTAGTATGTGATATATTTTTTTGATTTCTGAAGCAACTCAACAAATAAATCACAAAATTAAAATAATCACAACAAATAAATCTCAATAAGCATAATTCTTAATGAAAGCAATGCTGTTGATTTTAGATGTTAGAACACAGTTCTGCTTCAAATTGAATTGTAATGCACAACACTAGTTAGTTAGTGTTCCAACACTAATTTCGTGTACTACACACCTACTCCAGTATTCACATAACATAAGAGTTTAACAGTGATACTTCTTTGGGCCATTTGACTTGTGGCTGAATGAAGCACAGAAATGATGCCATTTTGTTCAAGTGAAATACTCTTATACATATGAGTTAGATTAACTAGATGTCTAGTACATTGTATGGATAGTAACAAAAAAAATTAATGTTTCATAAATTGCTATTTAACATATATTTTATTAAAAAATACAACTGTAATTACATATATGTAAATCAGAATTGGAAAAGTTCAGTGTTAAAAAGTGAAAGAATATATTGTTGTGAAATGCTCAGCTTTCCTGTTCTGTGTATTACTGGCAAATAAATTGTGTTTTGATTCTTCATCAAGTGTTATCATCAATTACTCCAAATCCACATACCCGCAGAATGTAACAATATTAAATAATGGTGGTAAGTCAAAGTGGTATCTATGTTTTAATTCAGATTAGCTGTCATGCCAATTTTGGTGACTATCAAGAAGAACCAATTCCTCAGGTTGCTACAAAAGAAATTATGGTGAACTGGATAGTTTATTACTTTGTTTGACAGATACTGCCAGCTGTTGCTTGCACATTAATTCAAAGTAGTTGTTACCACAGTAACAATAAAAATCTTAGGGATCCATAAAGGAAATAAATTGAAACATAAACATGCCCTGAATTTAAGAACATTGGTGCAAAAGGAAGATGATATTTATCAGCAAGTTGTTACAATTTTTGGTACCTACAGAAATTTCCTGTTAAAAAAAAAAAAAAAAAAAAAAAAAAAAAAAAAAAAAAAAAAAATGCTAAAATCTATTCCTCTTCTCCCCCCCAAAAAACTAATAATATGCACATAAAAACTTTTTCTTAACAAAAATAAATTCATTATTAACTTATTCCTTATATTTCTTTTAACATTTATACAAATTTCTCAACTACAAAACTGGATGCACTGCATGTTATTGCATTGTTGCACTGCATTGTTGTGATAATTAACGATTTTGTTCATGGTTTCAGAAATAGATCCAATTAGTATATTTCTCAGTTTCTGAACATAAGTCTACTTAGCTATTGACAATTTTTTTGATCTCATATTCATTGATTATATACAATAACACATAATAAAATGAGTAGCAGTTTTAATAAGTACTTAAATACCCCCATTTTCCAATTATGCATAATCACCTTGCTTTAATATTATTATTACTTTACCCCCTTATATAGAAATTATTTTTGGTAGTTCATTTATGATGTAGGATGCCTGCATGTTATAATCAAGCACATTAAGGAGATACATGTTATGTTCACTTTAAGCTTAATTTGCTTCAAATTAAATCTGAAATGGCATTATAAGGAAATGATTATAATTCCCATTTCTAACACATTTTCAGTAAAAAATAAATAAACTGAAACAAAAAAACTAAAAGCAGTATTCACATAACATGGCAACCATATTATGATATTTCATATATTTAAGTTATCTTGAATTTTCCTTTAAATTAAAGCTTTAGAGTAGATATATTTGTTAATATTTTTCAACAAAAGTTTAAGAAGAGATTTTTGAAAATAATTACAATAAAATACGGAATAACACAGCTCAATAACAAACTAAATCTTTTTCAGATATGATTTTGAAAAAATACATTAGTTATTTTTATCAGCAAAGCTATATTGAAAAAAAAATTTAAAATAATTACCACACAACAGGGAATAATATAGCTCCACAACAAATTAAATCTACAAGAATAAATATTTCTCTCCATGTATAATGCTGAGATTCGCCTTCTTCACTTTCTTCCATAATTATTTTGGCTACATTAGCTAAGACCTAAGGGGAGGGGGGGGAAATGTATTTATACATTTATACATGGATATTAAAATTAATTAAATTTAGCACATTTTTTCTACAAATAAACTATGAAGTATTTTTTGAATCTATTATAATGTTTTGTTACAGAAATAAAGAATATTCACTGTACCTGTAAAGGAATGACAATCATAAAAATTTTTTTATCCTTATCACTCAGGATGTGCTTAATGAAAGCCCATCCTGTTCCAATTAGTACAATGGTGATGAAAAGCAATGCACCTTTTAACCTGAAATAAAACATATGCAGATACATACACATACAGTAATATATACAACTAATTTTTAAATCAAAAATGAATTTTATGAAACCAACATTCAATAAATTTACCTAATTAAAACTCAACAATGCCAACTTACAACACAGAGGGAAAAAATACAGAGAAATTAATTATTCTATACTATTAGTTAATGAATCAGTCAGTTGATTTTTTTAATGAATCTTAGTCTAATTTCTTTCATAATGTTTTTTTCAAAGGGAAGCGGAGAATGATGAAATACACATTAAGATACCATATTTAATTGTGTATTTTTCTCCTTTTCATTTTAGCAAAAGTTGAAATTTTTTAACTATTCACATAATTTTCAAAATCTTCAAGGTATTCAAAAACGGAGTTTCATTTTAAAATGAATTCACACCGTAGTTGTTGTTTTCACCATACTTTGTGATTTGCTCATGGATTTGGAGTGCACAGACTCTGATTGGTGAAGCAATGAAAGTGAAAAGCTTTACGAAAACAAGGACATCTAATGCTATTGATGATTCTGAAGATTATTGCATTGGCAAGACAACTGAACAATAATGAAGATGACAGCTTGTAAGCTATAGCAGATGAGATAGACAGCAATTTCAGCAGCATTAAGAGCAACAGTGAGTAAGAGTGAGCAAGATTCAGGGTATAAAAGAGAACCAGAAATGAAGGTATCTTAATACAAACTGTAATTTTAATATTACTTTGTATTCTTACTGGAATATAAGCTTCTATATTGTGATAGTCACTGACAGTTTACTCTTGATTAATTTTTATTTGCTATGTTTTTACTGTAACTCTGTCCTTTGAAAATTAAATTATTCACATAAGTTTTCCCTCTTGATGAATTTTGTATCATAAAATTAGTAAAAAAAAGGGGATATGGGAGTAAATATGGTATTCATATTGATGGAGTCCCAGTAAATAACAGATATTACCTATTATTAATATCACTACTATATTTTGATTTGCCCTTCCTCCTAAAAAACTGAATTTAAAAATAATAATAACTTAGTTCAACGAGTTAATCTCTTTGTTTTCATATCTTATAGCCTAACTGCCAACCTTAAAATGTAAAATTCAGGGAATTTTCAAGAAATGCGCAGTAATGCCATTTCAAAAGAAGTCAAAATTGACTTAAATTTATAATGCATGATTTAGGTCACTGAACTACTCTAATGTAAAATGCATTAACATTTAATTAGATAGTCCAGATTTTATGTTCTTCAGCTAATTTAATTTCATAATTTTCTTATACTTTTATATTAAGAAAATTCTGAACTGGGAAAGAAATCTTTCATTTATCAAAGTATCTTTAAATACGATGAAAATTAAATTAATGATTAATGTATATACTATTATGAGCACAACTTAGTAACACACCATATTTTGATGTAAAACAAAATTAAATATAAATATAACTGATTAAATATTGGTTCAATCTTTGTAGAACATTCTACAGATGCCTATTGTATATTAGGTATATTAGCATGCTCGCTGCCGCTATAGGGGGGAAAAGGCGATCACTGTAATGATAGCTGTAGAAATGAGTTTTCCCCATTTGCCAACTGAAGGGGAGAATAATCTATCATCGATGATTAGCTCTTTCCGTAATAGTACAAGACTGGCTACTGAGACATTACCCCACACTCTGTGCTTTCGCGGGATTGGGTACATGTGTTGAAGTCACGTCACCTGATGACGCATGACTCGGCAGGGAATATGTCAGGACAATTCAGAATCAAATAAAACTGAATTTAAAAAAATTAAGCTGAAAATCACTAGGTGTCAGAAAATGGAATTTGCACAGTTTAAGTTTATTTCATTCAATAAATTTTCATTTATTGTCGAGAATCATTTGCCTTAATAAATGCTAAAAGTTACAAACCAGGAGATTTGGTGACCTATTAGAAGACCAGAAGTTTCTTGGTAAAAACAGCAGGGTTAGTAATTATGCTTTTGGTATTTCTTCCCTCTATTCTTAAATCTCTTTTCATAATTTTCTGCTTAGCCAAAACTTATGTTCATTATGAGGGACCCATTTAAAGTCCTCAAATGCATAAAAAAGAATACTCACAAATGTGTTATGTAGTACAGAACTGCCCATGCTTCCATCGGATAGCCATCTTTTGCAATAATATGGTAATTTATCTATGATAAAGCAAAAAGTATGTATGCCATAATTATATTTTGATAGATAATAGAAATACCGAATTGCACATTAAAAAGAAAACTCTTATAAAATACTTACACCGTGAAATAAGAGGGATAATGATTTCACAAATACCAGAAGCCCCATTAAATAATGAATTTTAAAAGTTTCCTCCCTATAAATAAATTTACAAAAATTACTTTATAGATAATACAAAAACAGAGAGAAAGGAAAATACACTTACTTATCTTTTTGAAAAAGGGAACACCATGAAGGCATTGCCAGAAATGAATTAAATTTATTCCACATATTACTGATAGTGGTACAAATAAATGATCAAATTTAGAAGACAAAAAAATAAAATTAGTACTTTGTGTCAGAAATCAGTACTTCATATGTCTGTCATGCTAAGACAAACACATTTACAAGACCAAAAAAACAAAATCAGTACTTGTGTCAGAAATCAGTACTTCGTATGTCTGCCATGCTAAGCAATGAGACTATGTACATATCGTGGCATCGAATCATACAGGTTCTGAATGTAAACCTGGAGAATAGTATTCCATATGGCTTGATGCCAAAGTTCAGTCTTAGTGTATGCCCCACCAGGGGTACAAGAGACTCATTGACCAATGAAATACTAGACATGCCGAATGGGTGACATATCCACGGAATAAGCAGGCCATGGAAGAAGCGAAACCTGTTGTGTCTTAAAAAAGGCTAAGAAACATGTGCACGAACATTATCCTACTGAAATACAGCACCTGGAATGCATTGAAGAATGAGGAGGACCTCAGTCTCCACAACTTTTCTTATGTAGTGATCAATTGTTGAGGTTGCCCACAGTCTACACTAGATGAGATCGACAATTATACCCAACAGCTCCCCACACTATGGTGCCAGGCATTTATGCAGTATAATGCTAGATAACATACTGTGGGAGCAGAAATTCTCCTCTGCAATGTTTGATGCATACTCTGCAGCCTCTTTGATGCATAACTGCAGTGAGATTAATCAGAGAAAACAACTTGTTGCCAGAGGACACGCCATGTGCTGTGCTGCCACGCCCACTGAAGGTGGAAGCATCTGTGATTAAGCGACAGGGAATCTTGCGCAGACGAACCCTTGCACATAGTTCATGCTGCAGCAGATGATGACGAACCATGGAGGTAGATAACACAACACCTGTGGCCATGTTCCAATGTTGTGTTAACACACGAGAGGAAACTGTATGACCCATATCAACCAAGCGGATGATACACCCATCCTCCCGTGTTATTATGCTATTGCATGTCCCATTGCCAGGATTTCATCATATTTGGTTCTCCTATGTCCATGTCATGCAAACACACATCACTGTTGTGGCATTACGCTGTGTGGGCTGCAATCACTCGATACGATAATCCACCCTTTCACATACCAATGACGTGGCCTCATTTGAACTCCGTTAGTTGTTGGTATGGCAACCTCCGCTCTGGTGAAGCATACAGTCTAATAATTAAATGTTCACCAAAGACAGAGGATTTGTAAAATTTTTATTAAAAATTCTTAAAATATTTACTTTTTTAATAAATTTTTAAGGTTTTTCAGAAATTAAATTCCGATCTCTCATATACAGATTTTTCTGAAACATTTCATTTTATATATTCATGCAGTTAATTAGCAATAACTGATTAAACAGAAAATGTACTCTTAGCCAGAAAAACCTTAAACAACTAATAATAATAGTTATATGGTATTTCAAACTGGCTACAAAACAATTCACAACTGCTGAATGTAAGTGCAGAAATAACTATAAGCAAAATTGCTTAATTAAACAGTTCTTACAAAGTTCTTACAAGTACTTTACAAAAGATGCCTTTACACTAGCTTTTCTTTAAATAACTGCTCAATCAACCTAAAATGTCAAATGAAATTCCTTAAAATTCTCTTCTCCCCTTTTCAAAATGTATTATCATGAGCAATTTTAAGTTTTTAATAATATTTGTTTTCTTCATAAAAAGAGACTATTTCAATAACTTCTAAAACTGAAAGCTACTTTAAATTCTAATAATCTTAAAAATCTTTCTACTTGTGATTCCACTACATACAGTATTCAAATATTTAAACAAAATCAAATAACTCCTTAAACTGTATGTTTAACAGTAAAATGTTTTTAAAATTTAATTTACAGTTACAATGAAATATTCAAAGATGTAGCAATTACACCTGAAACTGAAAGCCACAGAATAAAAAAAAATTAGTTTTGGTATGCATCTTAATAACAGAGACCTTAAGTTTTACTAGCATTCCATGTTCCTACATATAGAAACCTATGACAAACAATCCTGCAAAACACACATTGTAAGAAATTTTATGTGGAAATCTACTTTAATCGCCAAAGAGGGCGTAAATCTTTCATGATGCATACTTCTCGTTCTTGGATCTGACAGTACCTGTTGAATGCGTGTTAGTCTTGAATAAAGTTGGAAGTTTGAAACCTGATTCGAATGTTCATTTTACCTTGGTGAAATTGTGTTTTTTGAACAAGGATAACATGAAATTATTATGGTTCTCTTATACTATTTTTCATTTTTGGTGCCCAACAATTGCACACGAACAGTTTTTTTATTTAAGAATGCAGTGGTTTTTCATGTTGTTAAAAAATTATTCCTTTGCACTGAATGTGGCAGGATAAACGTTCAGAATACTTGTGAATGCTTTTCTCTTGGAAAGTGAGTTTATAATTTAGGATTAAATCACTAAAACCTGCACCAGGTAAGCGAATGAAATTATTTTTGTTGTTATTATGGCAAACAATATTGTTAAATTGAAAGCTGTTAGAAAAGCTTTGAGACAAGCTGTTTCTAAAATAATAAATGCTTTAGAACCTGAAATTAAAAAAAGACATTTGGAACGAGAATATGGTAGAAGAAAGTGTTTTTACTTACTTCTAAACAGTCTGCACTGAAAGAAATTAATGAAAAAAATACTGGATTGTTTTAAAGGGGATAAGTCCGAAATTGAACAAGAATGTAATACTGCGTTTTGGAATTTTATAATTCTTTTGAAAATGCTATTGGTAATAATAATGAGTTAACAAAGGTTGAGAAGTTTACCTATCTTAAATCTTTACTTGCAGAACCTGCTTTAAGTGCAGTATCCGGGTTCACATTATCTAATGATAATTATGAAGCTTCTAGTCTTCTTCTTAGTTAAATTAAAGAAAAATTTGGACGGACAGATCTTTGCATATGAACAAACTCTTGAATCTTGAACCGGTTAGAAGTTCGCCCAACGTGAAAGCACTAAGAACACTTTACAATTCCTGTGACATCAAGATAAGAAGTTTAAATTCATTGGGTATTGTGTCGGATGCTTATGGGAGCCTTTTAGGCCCTGTTACTTGAAAGCTTTTACCAGATGATATGAATCAGGAGTTTAATAAAAAAAGAAACTCTAAACAGCAATATAACTGGAAGTTAAGAGTCGGGAATCTTCTCATTTAATAATAAACTAAAAAAAAAAAAAAAAGACACAAATTACGGTGTTAAGCAGACTAAAAATAATTACTTAAAAGGGGCAAACATTCCTACTGCTTCGGTGTTAGCCACAGTGACTAAGCCGTACTGTTTCTATTGTAATCAAAATACAGGATGTATGAAAATGTGAGAAAACAAAGCAAAAAAGAGCGATATTAAAAAACCATGGACATTGTTACATATGTTTTAAGAAGGGTCATGTATCGTCCAAATATAAAGTAAAACTTTAGCCTTGTGAGTTGTGTAATGGTTTAAATAAGTTATTTTGTAAAAATATTGCTTTTGAAGTGGAAACAAATGTTAAACAGAAAGTAGTTACTGTATCCGATTCTAAGCAGAATGTATTTGCATCCCTATTGTTTAACGCTAAGACTGTTTCTAAAACTGCTGTAAAAGTTGTGTATATTTATAAACATGCACTGTTTACGCTTCAGATACAGATAATACTAGAAGCCAACTAGTAAAAATCCTAATTGATGGTGAATCACATAGGTCATTTATTAGATCTGATTTGGCTAAAGAACTAAAATTAGGGACTTTAAGGAAAGAAAGGTTATATATTTATTCTTTAAGGTATATCCAGGGTAGACTAATGGAATATAATGTTGTTCAAATTACCATGAAAAGTATACATTGCCCTAATGACTCAATCATTGTTGAAGCTCTTGTTACAAATACTATTTCTGAAGTGATCATAAAAGTTCCCTCTAAAAACATTTTAGAAATATTAAAATCAGAAAATTTAAAATTAGCCAATAATGGTGAAGCAGTTGAAATAAAATATTGTTAGGATCTGATTCATGTTGGGAAGTGCAAACAGGTGAAAAGAAAAGAGTGAGTAATAAATTATTTGCGATATCTTCTATATTTGGTTGGTCCTTGGTTGGAAGGTGATCAGTCTAGTGTCTGTATTTTTACAACTGGTGCTTCTTATTGCTTGAAGGATAATTCAGATAATGACTGTTTGTGAAGGTTTTGGACTTTGGACCACTTGGGTTTAAGAGAATATTGATGGTAAATTAGTTATTGAGAAATTTGAAAAAGAATTACATTTTACTGGTAGATATGTAGCTCGTTTGTTATGAAAATCACATCATGAAAACTTGGGTAATAATTTAGAAAATGCCAAGCGAAGTCTAGTATCTTTGGTTAATAAACTAAAAAATGATGAATGGCTTATGCAGAATTATGATAGCATAATAAATGAACAGCTAAAAAATGAAATAATTGAAGAGTGCAAAATTGAAATTTTGACAGTAATAAAATGTATTACATGCCACATTCTCCAGTGGTAAGAAAAGATGTATCAAAAACTAAAGTTTGTATCCTGTTTGATGCATATTCAAAATGTAACAATGGGGTATCTCTGAACAATTGTTTGATGCCTGGCCCAAATTTGAATCTTTCTGTTTTGGACTTGATATTGTGGTTCAGACAATACAAACATGCATTCTCAGCAGATATTGAAAAAGCCTTTCTCCAGATTGGAATTTCTGAAACTGATAGAGATGTATTACGGTTTTTATACTTTGATAATAATTACAATTTGGAACATTATAGAATGACTCGCGTTTTCCTTTCGGTGTGTGTCATGTAGCCCTTTCATTCTGGCGTGCACTATAAAAAAAGCATATAAAGGAAATATGGAGTTAGAAAATCCAGATATTTTTGAGATTGTTGAACTGTTCGATCTACGTAGATGATGTTTTCTATGGGGCAGATTCCGTGGAATAGGCTTTTAAGTTAAGTACTAGGAGGGCCTATTGCGTATTCGCTTAAACCGATGTTGCGAATGAATCCCCGCGTGCATCATTGTTTGCCAGGTACCGTCATTTCAGAGAAACTCATGATTGTGGAATAATTAAATCAGAAAATGAAATAAATAGCTCCTTAAAAGTATTAGGGCTTAACTGGTGTACGAGTAAAGAGGCAATTTCCTTGAACATAGATAACTTGTGTGAAACATTAAATAGTTGTAGAAACACCACAAAAAGAAATATATTAAAGGTGACTGCTCCTATTTTCGATCCAGTAGGTTTCTTGGTGCCACTTGTATTACGTGCAAAATTGATAATGCAAAACCTTTGGCAGATGGGTTTAGAATTTGATGATGAAGTTCCAACTGAATGTAAGCAGTTGTGATCCGAGTGGAGCGGTGAAATAAAAAAATTAAACAAATTTGAAATTTCTCAAGAATATTTCCTCGGCAAATTGAAGCACAATAAAGATACCAAACTGCATTTATTTTGTGATGCATCTATTAAAGCATACGGTACAGTCGCATATTTTAGATCGGTTGAAGAAGGTCAGGTAGCATTCATTATGGCAAAATCTAGAATTGCACCAATAAAACAAAAACTCCCACTTCCAAGGCTAGAGTTGTTAGGAGCATTAACACCGACAAGACTTGCTAAAAATTTAAAAGAGCTGTTTCAATTCGTGAAGAAAAATATCTATCCGTGGACTGACGGTATGATAGTGGTTCACTGGATTCGTAGTGCTCCTGAATGATGGAAAATGTTTGTAAAAAATCGGGTATCTGAAATACAATCATTAACTTGCCCAAATAACTGGAGACATTGTAATGGGAAGTCCAATCTAGCGGACATTTTACCTCGAGGATGTTCAGCCAAATATTTGTTGTCTTCAAAATTATGGCACTCTGGACCAGACTGCTTAGTTGAATCAGTGAGTGCTTGGCCTAGTAAATTTATTATACAACAGAGTTTTCTGATGTTGAATTAGAGCGGGAAAAGTGTATAAATGATACCACAATACTACTGTCTATTGCAGAAAAATCTAATCCTCTGTTGAATCTTGAAAATTATAGTAAATTAATTAGACTTATTAGAGTGACTGCATGGATATTTAGATTTATTCACAACGTGAAAAATAAAACTGACAAGAAAACAGGACTCTTGATTGCAAAAGAACTCTTTGCCGCAGAATTAAATAAGTTTTTGATAAAAGAAAATTATTTGATAATTTTATCAAGTTCAATATGAACATTTTTCTGATGAAATTAACAGTTTAAAGTCTGGACAGTTGATTTAAAAAAACTCAAAAATTTATGAACTAAATTCTTTTCGCTAAGATTATTAATATTGTGTGATAGTATATTTTTTACTGAAAATGTAATCTTAATGCTACTTAATGTTTTATATTAGCTTAATATTTAAAGTTGAAATGTATATATTAGAAAATTTTGTAGAAATGTATAAGTGTATTTAAAATTTAATTCTGAAAAAAAGGGGGGGGGCAGGTTTTTTGTAATATTTTTAGCATTTTAGTTGGATTATTGAAATGTTATTTGTTTAATATTATCTTGAGTTATATAAATTCTTGATTTAAATTCCTGATGCTTGAACAGGAATGTTATGACAGTAATTCTTGATGAATGAAAATTTACTTGATATTTTTTAAACACACAGTAAGTTTTACATGTTCTTGATGCTTATGTGACATATTCTTGATTACAAAAACTTGAATTTGTACTGAAATGCATAATGATTCTTGAAAATGTTCATGCATCACTGATAATCTTGATTGTTCTGAACTACTGTTCAACCAGGCCCAGTGTGTTAGAAATTTTATGTGGAAATATATTTTAATCACCAAAGAGGGCATACATCTTTCATGATGTATACTTCTTGTTCTTGGATTTGGCAGTGCCTGTTGAATGCATGTTAGTCTTGAATAAACTTGGAAGTTTGAAACCAGATTACAATGTTCATTTTACCTTGGTGAAATTGTGTGTCATTTGAATTGAATTGTGCTTCTTGAACCAGGATAACATGGAATCTTGACGGTTCTATTATATTATTTTACACACATAGCTTTGCTCTACTTTCATGCAGTTTTATATAATTTTACTAAATTTCAATAAACTAAATCAATTTTTTTTTTTTTTTTTTTAAGCATAGTAGGTATATCTGTTTAAAATAAGAGATGTTTTTACGAAAGCCTTTTCATAGGAAAATGGACACATTTACATTAAGAACAGTACAAAAATAAATAAATAAATAAATAAATAAAAGCTATTCTACTGAAATGTAGGAAAAAGGATCCAGAACAAACATCTGCTGTTTCAATATTTTAGCACAGGATACCATGTGTTGGGGAAAAGAATAAAGATGACTTGGACTTAAAAGATTAAAAAAAGAAAAGAAGAAAAAGAGAATTAAATTACCTTTTCCGCCTAAGTACACTTATCCATGCACAACCTGTGACAAAAAATATGAAAGACATTAAAAAATAGAGGTTTGGTAGAGGCATCTCACCAGCAGACAAGTAGTTTTCCCCATTGTGCTCTACTATAGCAATCTGAAATTGTTATTAAGCAGATTAATTAACCACATGCAGATTACATTTAAAACTTATTACAAACCATGAATTACATACATCATACAAATACTTGGAACAGATTTTTAAAAAAGAAAGGGCACACGAAATTTTTTTTTTTTAATTTTATGTTGAGGAGAAAAGACAGAAAAAGATAATTTTAAAAGTGAAAAAGATTTTACACATATTTTACAAAATATATATAAAAATTTTTTTCCCATCATTGTAATATTACTCAAAATGTCAAAGGATCTTTTTTATTAATACATGTTACGTTATATTCATATGCATATATGTAATGATATTTTTAAATCAATTGATTAAATTCAATTCTAATCATATTCCTTAATAACATGTTGGCAATTCTCTACCTAAATTGCATCCCTGTTCCTAAATTTTGGCGAAATCCTTTCTTTATTATAAATTATATTAACCTGTTGGCGCTCGCCAAATCGCCAAACTCAAAAATCTGTCGTATTATATAAAGTCCTTAAGAACACTCCTGATGAGAAGATAGTGTCTCCTCATGATTTCCATTCATATCGCTGATTGGATGAGCACCATGACGCACATATATCGAACTTCCTAATGTAAACAAACATCGTCCACTGCCGTTGCATTCCTCAGATAACCATTCTAACTTCAATACTTCCCGATGAAAATAATAGAATTGACTCTCTCATAGGTTTTGGGATGTAGACGCTAGTGTGTTTGAAAGAATTAGCGTTGTTCGCAAAAATTCCTTCATTATATAGTGTGGATTTTGGAGGCAATCACCAATTAATTCTGCCTTCTGGGTGTCTGTATGAGCCACCAGTGCGTCCGTAGCTAAGAGGGGAATGTGCGATTTGTGTTTGTGTTGGGTTTGATTTCTAAGGTACATGAATTCCTTTTACGTGAGTATCTTATCTATAAATAGGGCTTCTCCTTAAGGTACAGGAGGAACGCTTGTGAGATGGATGCTAAAATAAACGTATCACTTTATATTCCTAAATTTGTCTCATTCCTGTTGCCCCGGCTGCTGCACAACACAAGTAATGCATGAGATATATACATACACATACATATATATATATATAAGATAAAGCTATGTAATCAGAACTGTTACTTTAATTTGAAAAAATCACATAGCTCTCCATGTTTATTTGATTATTTTCTCTTTCTGCCCTAAAAGTAGTAACTGTTAATACTCTCAAACTGTCTCATTTCCAAATTAATCCTCCTCATGATTCTTACATAATGCTTCAGCCAATAATAATTTAAAATCTTAGGAACTAAAACCTTTAGCAACCAATACAGATAAAGCTGAAGCAAAACTAAATCGTTCTGAATAGGATTCTCATCTTAGACATGTCATGTTCACTTTCTGCTTATATGTAAGATAAAAAAATATGTAAATCAAAATTCTAACTTTGATTTGCAATGTACTCTTAACTCTCAATTTTAATTCTCTGACACACACTTTATGTCCTAAAAATAATAACTGCTTTAATAAATCTGTCTAAACTGCATTATTTCAAAATGAATATTCTTCACATAATTTTTATATAATAATCCAATAATGATTAAAAATATTACAATAGCCAATAATAATTAAACATTTGATGAGCTAAAACTTCAGTAACCAATAAGGATAAAGCTGAACCAAAACTAATTCATTCTGAACTTAGATTTCATCTCAGACATGTAGCATTCACTCTCTGTCTTATCACTTTGCAGTCTCCCCTCCTTTTGTTGTGTGTGTGTTTAGCTTCAAAAATATGAAAACTGCTTTGATGTCAAAAATAGAAGGAAGATTCAACTGGCTACAATAATAAGTATCTAGTTCTTTACAAATCAGCTTTCACTGCCATGCACCTATGTTATTATAAAAATATCATAATTTCTTATATAAAAGTAAGGAATATTATTTGAAGAATTATTAATTGTATTTAAAAAGATGATAAAAACTAGAATCCAATGTAAAAACATGCATTACAGGTATGTTAAAAAGTTATGAAATTTTTTGCAAAATTTTGAGCAAAGGTCATTTTATACAAACTAATAAGACCATTTACACTACCAAAAAAAAAAAAAAAAAAAAAAAAAAGTACTGTGATTTATAGGAAATTAAAAACTACTTTGCAATATCAATTACCAAAACAAAACATTTGCTAAGGTTCAACCTAGCAAATAACTGTCATTGAAACAAAAACTTCTCTCCCGTTTTGAAAAAATTTTTTTTTTCTTAAATGGTTATTTAATTTTGGCAAGAAAATCTTATACAAAAGGCACTCAGAGGAGACATGGCTCACATTTGAATTACATACAAGGAAAATAAGCCTAAAAGAAAAATACCAGCTTTGTTGTCTTAAATGTGGCATAAAACTGCTACCAGTAGTATTCAATGACTTTTATTTGAGACAACTTAGTACATATCCTGAATCTTTTTAGAAATAAACAGAACAGCATGTTCTGAGGATTTCTTTCCCCCCGGTTTATGGGTACAACAATTTTTTTTTCTTCCTGATGCAAGGAATAAATAAATAAAACAAAATGTATGATGATTATACATTATTCGAGTATTTATAAAAAAACTTTCCTGTTTCTTCAGTTTTCTTTCTCAATGGAATGCTTGAATAATCTGTTTCATTGTTAAAAAAGATCTTCAGTTTAATATATTAATATACTCTCTCTCTCTCTCTATATATATATATAGATAAAAAAAAAATCGACGCACCAAGAATTATACATAGTTGTATATATAAGTAAATATTTAGCCTAGAATAGGTCTTGTTTATTTGGCGGAGATACGACTATGGTACAACTGGTGGCAGCAGCGGTCGGAATTTAAAAAGGCCCACTAGTCAAACAAAGAAGTGATGCTTGAATTCGACACATTTTGAGTAGAATCATCCTGATTCTATGAGGTCTGCAGTTTTGAACGAATCATCCTGATTCAACGAAGTTTTAACAGCACCCTCGTAATTCTGTGCAGTTTAGAAATCAGCTCAAGTTCTGATGTTGATATACATAAGTTGACAGAACCAAAATCATCCGGATTTTAACGTCTTATGAATTATCCTGATTCCTGCCACGGTTCTGCACAACGAGTTTTCTTCATCAAAAATCATCCCGATTTTTGTATTGTTGTAATCATATCAATTCCAGTTTCTTCGTTTAATCTAAGTGATATTTTAGAGAACCTCCATGGTTCTGCACAACGAGTTCTCTTCATAAAAAACTCGAATCGTCCTGATTCCAGTTTCTTCGTTTGATCTAAGTGATATTTTAGAGAACCGCCACGGTTCTGCACAACGAGTTTTCTTCATCAAAAATCATCCTGATTTTTATGTTATAACATTAAAGTTTCATGTTGTGAAGGAAGAGTCAGCACGTTCTACAGAAGTTGATCACATAAATTCTGTGTTTGTGGGAATCTTGTGATTCCGAAGATCATATAGAGTAGATATAGTGTCAGTGAATCTTTATCTAACAAGTCATCAAACGGGGTAAGTACCTTGATTTTTACATTAAGGCAGTGACTTATCCTAAGTAGTTAATTTTGTTAAAAGTTGATACATTGTCGTCCTTGCTATGCATTTTAACTCGTATATATGTGTATGTTATGGTGTTAGTTCATAATGATTACTCATAACAAAATGCATAATTATTGAAATAATAAGGTAGAAATTCAGTAGCATAGAAATCTGAACGTCTTTTTACTGTTGTTATTCGTTGGTCCTGTTTTAACATTTTTGAATGTAAAATCCAACAAAAAATTAACTATGTTTGGAATTAATGTATATTGATTTTATTGTTATTTAACAGTATAAGAATTATCGACAATTTTATATTGGTTTTTTAATGTATTAGAAAACACATCAGCACTACTGTACTTATGAAAACTGAGATTTACTTAATTAAGTACAGTTGAAATTTATTTAAATGGATTGTTACTGATGGTATGGTGGGTTTTTGTGTACTAATTGCTATTGAAGTTGTGACTGAATTACTTACTGTTTTTATTAGTATGTACTCAGGTAAAAACTTACTAAAATTCAATTCATTAATTCTGTAAATGTAGCCATATTGTGTATTAGATTTGAATAATATTAAGGAATTTCAAGCGTTTTGAAAATTGTAGTACTGAGTATACTGAATTCCTGTTATGTTAAGATTCAGATCATTTATGATGTTTGGTAAAATCACTGTGCATTAAAGGTTACTATTAATAATGATAATCTCAGTGGCATTGTATTTTTTATTAGTGTGTGATAATTCTAAGTACAGAAATTGAGTGTGGCACAAAGCTCAAAGACTTTGGTTAAAATGGCTTTCTTAGGAAAGGGAAAAAAGATTGACTTATACAACCTAGTGATAGAATTAGGAGAGGAGGCTACAATGAGTCTAAAGATTGTGGATCTAAAATCTCTGATTCAAAAAAGTGCAGCGTATGATGAAGAGTTCGTTAAGGGTGTTTTCGAGGGAATAGTAAATGACAGGTTGGAGAAGGAGAGACTTCGAGAAAAAGAGAAAGAGGAGAGACTTGGAGAACAAGAGAGAGAGGATTGCCGGGCTAGGGAGATAAGACAATTTGAGTTAGAACGGCTAAGGATCGAGGCAATGGGTAGATCGTCGCCTGCGGTATCAGAAAATTCAAGGTCATGTAATAAGCAGTTTCATCGTGAGATACAAAAAATTATTCAAAAATTTGATTCGGATAGTGGGGATATTAGTTTGTATCTAACAATGTTTGAGAGACAAGTAAAGAGGTTTGGTATCGAGGAGAGCGACTGGGTAGCTTACTTAGCACTACTGCCCATGGAAATTGTACAACTTATATCTAAAGAACCTGAAGAAAAAGCTTGCGATTACATATATGTAAAGGCTTTGCTCTTAAAAAGATTCAAATTGAACACCGAAAAATTCTGTCTTAAATTCATTCAGCATCAACGAAAATCAGATGAAACATGGAGGGATTCGAATTTTGCTCTGAGAAAATATTTAGATGGATGGTTAAGCATTCTGG